TCCAAGTCGCTCCGGAAAAAGTGGATCTCCAGTCTGTTACGTCTGTCAGAATCAGATAACAGCAACGTTTTTACACGGGCTATGATCAGGCCAGCAAACCGACCTACGTACCGCGCGCACACTATAAAACTATCCCATGGATCCACCGATATCGAAGCCAGTGCCAGCTCGCCACGTCGTTCAAATCGCACACACGATGCCGTCGTCACCGCCGGCGGCGGTGGCGGCACCACGAAGCAGTCGATCCAAGAAAAAGACACGGACGTACCACGTGTCGGTGTTCTGATTCACGCCCGTCCCGCTGCCGGAGAGGGACTGGGCGGAGCTGCACCCGGACCTGATCTCCTGCATCCTCCACAAACTCGACCAGGCCGAGCTCCTGCTCAGCGGCGTGGTGGGCGTGTGCCGCTCCTGAAATTTTTTGTTTAGTTCTTCGATTCCGCCCGACGACGCCATCAGGCTGCCCTCTGTTTTGCCGTCACCATCGTCGCCGCGCGCCGTCCCGCGCCCCTCCGACGTCGTCCCGCGCCCCTCCGACGTCGTCACCGCCCCGCGCCACCCATGCCCCGACGTGGCCGCCTTCTGCCCCGACCTCGCCGTCACCGTCCTCTGCCGCGCTTCGTCGTCGCCGCCCAGTGAGCCCCCTCCCTTCCCCGCGCCACCGTCCCGGCCTGCTCTCTAGTTTTTTTTTCATACACTTTTTTGTAATTCATTGATGTATGTATATATGGATGTTGTATGTATATGTATATATATGTAGATGCATGTATGATCCATGGATATGTATGCATTGATGTATGCTTTTTTTGTTTATAGATTTTTTTGTTAATTTATGTATATATATGTTCATATATATATGTGCATATTTAGAAAAAAATTATGTTGCAAAAGTTACATTTAAGGTTAGTTGATTTAGTGCATTTTAGGTTATTAGTTCTATTGTTACTGCATTTTATGATAGTAGATTCTAGGTTAGTGGATCGGAGAGGAAAAAGTAAAATGATGAAAAGGAAGAAAAGTGGAAGAAGGAATAAGGAAGAAGAAGAAAAAGAAAGAGAGGAAAAAGGAAAATAAGAAGAGGAAGAAGGAGAAGAAGGAGAAGAAGAGGAGAGGAAGAAGTGGAGAAATAAATAAGAAGAGGAACTCTGTTCCTTTCTTCTTCTTCTTTTTTCTTCTTTTTTCTTCGAACTTTTTCTCTATTCCTTTCTTCTTTTTTTTTTCTTTTTCTTCCTCTTCTTATTTTTTATCGGGTATGTCGTTGTCGATATACCCCCTCCCCGATAACTTCGACATGAAGGGGGTGGGTCGATAAATAATAGAACTAGTTTATTTTTAGTAAATACTACTTTATTTTATTTATAGTAAATGCTTAGTAGTTGAATTAGTTAATTTAATAAAACTACTTTATTTTACTATAGAAATAGTTTATTTTTAGTAAGTACTACATTATTTTATTTATAGTAAGTGCTTAGTAGTTGAACTAGTTGATTTAATAAAACTATTTTATTTTACTATGGAAGTAGTTTATTTTTAGCAAGAAAATTAATAGAACTAGTTTATTTTTTCAGTTCAAGAAATTATTCCCGCATCGACGTCGACGATGCCTATCACGCATCCTCGTCGTCGACTCGGCGGACGAGGCCGGCTTGATCAGAGGAGCCATGTCCGGGACTGGGCTTCGCTGGGCTGGTATTGGGAGATGCTACCTTCCGGTGGGCGTAGGTTGGTGAGGAGCCAGCCCGTCGTTGACCCGATCCTTGTTTGGTGACGGTCGCGTGGGCCAGTGACGGCGTCGAGGCTTCCGGACACCGCGGAGGTGGTACGTCACCGTGTCAGCGAGGAGGACGAGCACGTCCGTCGCTACATGGTTGCGTTGGAGGGCAGGTTCGACAATACCTGGCAGATTCTTCAGGTATTTCACTGGAGTTATGATCCTGTGATGGTTCCTTCTCTTTGGGTGTCCACCGCCCACGCCGATACCCGTCGGACGCTACGGTTCTAGCTGTATTAGCGATGCTATATGTATGATAGTATTCGAGGTGTATTAGTGATAATATTCGACGATATACGGACGTAAGAGATGATGTAGTTTTGCTTATAATTGAATGCATGCTAATTTGAATACTACTTTATTTTAGATTTGGTTTTGCTTATTAAATGCTCAAATTGGAAAACTACTACTACTTTGAATGCTAAAATTGGAGAGCACTATGCAAGAAGTATGCATTTGATTAATTGTACAAGTTTAATATTTGAATTATGAACATAGGAAATGTTGTACTCGGAAGACGAAAGTCTCCCGAGGGAGTACGACTGGTGCCACGACGACCGAGGTCTGTGCGAAAGACCTCACCTAGACGAAGACCGGCGCTTCAGCATTAACCTCGAGGAGACCTTCGATGTTGAAACGGTACGCAACGACGACAAGTATTTTTTCCGTAAAGCACAACTTCAACTATTTCAACGTGTAATTTTCATCTTTTACAATTCGACTAGCTTATCCCATGCCATGCAAGACGCTATGGCTTGGAGAGGATGGGTCTTGAAGACCATGAAAGGATGAAAACAAAGAAAATTCACCCAAGGACCCATCATGGTATGGATTTCGAAGTAAAACTGTACAATTCTGAGAGCGTAACCCATTTTGGTTGTAAAAAATAGGAAGCACTTTGCAAGATGTATGGTTTTCATGAGGATATGCTTGTCACCATGAATTTTAGTGATCCTGAAATCGAGCAAGACAATATGGACATTTGGGTCCTTGTTGATATGCCTCCAATTCTACCACTATGTAAGTTTCTCAAACATAGTTATTAACTAATTTATATCGTTTATTTCAAAATAGTTGACAGCTTATTTCCATTGACAGCTTATTTTCATTCTTGAAAGAATGTGCGGAAGATGGTAGACAAAACCCACTACACCGATGGCTTCAAATTAACTTATCAGGAGAAAAATCATTTGATTGCATTTTGTACTGATATTGAGAATTGTAATATCTACAATTAAACTCCTCAATATTATGGTCAATACGTGCCACCAATGCACGTATTGAACCACAATAACTACAATGAAGATACTCTGGTAAGATTTTTTACTATTACGACATCCGTGCATCTTTTGCATACTTCTAAAATTAGTATATATCATTGCTAACTATGAAGTTATTACTATGTTTTTCAACAGAGAATCCCGATGGATTGTGTGCCTCATTTGATATATCAGAATGGTAGCCATGAACATATATCCAGGTCATCCTACGAATCTGAATTGTCCATACCGGATTTCTAAAAGAAGTGGAGACATACTAATCAAACAATGGAAAAAAATGTATGAACGGTCATAAGGAGGTTCTTGGAAGCAAAAGGAAGCGAAGCGCAAGAATTGGAGACAGGATGATCTCCAGTCTCCATAATGGAGAGTCAGGGTCTATGTTGTTTTATGCTATTTTACCTTAAAGAGGGTATTTAGGTCCTACCTAATACTGATGATTATGTGCTAAGAACAATTAAGTAGGGTTGGTTCAATGACTATGAGGATGATGATCGTATGACTTATTATTAATAACGAGTAAAAGATGTATGATGATGATCAGTAGGACTTGTTATTATGATGATGCATGATGCGAGCATGAAGAGTTATTATATATCAGTGGGTGAAATGAACATGGATTGGATTAAAGTGAAGGCAACATGCATGTGGTGCATGTCGAAAGTAGTACTAATCCAAACTTGATCAAGTTAGGATTAGTATTACTTTCGACATACACCACATATATGTTGCCTTTACTTCAATCTAACCCACGTTTAGGCATAGCAGTACTGTTGGTAAACCAAACACGGAGATAAGAGAGGACGCTTCTCTCTATTAGCTAGGTAACAACCTAAATTAACCCCCAAAACCCCTAAACCACCCTCTTAAAAAAACACAGCTCCTGCTAGCTGCTGACGCGTGGATGCCTTTTGGTCTCGGTTGGTGCCACCAACCGAGACCAAAGGCCCTCTTGCCTGGGCTCGCCGCAGCGGCCACGTGGAGTCCCATCTGTCCCGGTTCGTGTAAGAATCGGAACTAAAGGCCTGGAGCATCAGTAACGACTCTTTAGTTCTGGTTCGCCAACCGGGACAGATGGGCCTTACCAATCGGAACAAATGGTCCTTTTTCTACTAGTGTCTATTTGTTTGTTCCTCATCCGTGAGGAATTTTTCTAAGCTTGCTCACTTGCCGAGCCATGCTTTACATCCTTTATGCATCTGCTAGTTGTTTCTCTTTCAGTGTGTATACACACAACATTAACTCTTTAGAATCTGCATACTTTAACTCTTTAAATTCGCATATACGTCTCTTGTAGATTCATTCTAGATAAAACATGTTACCCATGTTATGTAATGTTTACCGGGTGGATTCTCACCTGGTTGATACCCATTTTTGCTTTGGTTCACGGATTCGTGGATTCATATTATTTTTCTTTTGCAGGTAGAGATCCAACTGGAAAAGAATGGGTGAGCAGAAGGCTACTAGGAGGAGCAGCGGTTTACCCTATTCATCCCTTTAATTGTCCCTATTTTCTTTCTTTTAGATTTAGAACATTGATGATCTGTGTGTGTGCTCTATCACAGCCTATAAACATTTGTAAATCGATGATGATGCATGTAAACTTGTGCGCTCCATGCCAACCTATATATGCTATGTGTATGTACATATGAACAATATGTATTACATGAACTGTAATGTGTACACCACAGTACAGCATGTGCATTTTTTTAAAATCTTATAATTACTAGAAGTGGCTGGCAGAACTAAGTGGCAGGGAAACCGGCGGTGATCACTAGCGGCGGCGAGGGGAGGACGCACCGGGAAGGTCGCCCGGAAAAGTGGATCGGGAGCCGCCCGAGTCGCTCCGGAAAAAGTGGATCTCCAATCTGTTACGTACTCATAATCAGATAACAGCGACGTTTTTAGACGGGCTGTGATCAGGCCACATCGTTCACATCGCACACACGATGCTATCGTCACCGCCGCCGGCGGCGGCGGCACCACGAAGCCGTCGATCCAAGAAAAAGACACGGACGTACCACGTGTCGGTGTTCTGGTTCACGCCGGTCCCGCTGCCAGAGAGGGACTGGGCGGAGCTGCACCCGGACCTGATCTCCTGCATCCTCCACAAGCTGGACCAGGCCGAGCTCCTGCTCGGCGGCGTGGCGGGCGTGTGCCGCTCCTGGCGGCGGGCCGCCCGGGAAGAGCCGGAGTTGTGGCGCTGCATCGACCTGCGCGGCGGCCTGTGGTTCGTACCGCCGTTCCACCCCAAGTTCAGCCTCGAGGCCATGGTGCGGGCCGCCCTGCGGCTTAGCCAGGGCCAGTGCGAGGCCTTCCTGACCAACCTCGCCGACGACGATATCCTCCTCTTGCTCGCCAAGCAGTAAGATTTCTTCCTTCTTTTTTCTCCCTAATTAGTTAATTATATATCCCAAACCTTTCGAAAGTCTGTCCCCCCGTTGTTAGGTTTTTTTTATAGTTTGGTTGGATTAACTAGGGAGAATACGATGCATCTGCATTTCTTTCTCTTTGATTAATTGCATTCTTAATTATTTATTTGTCATATATTGCAGGGCACCTGCACTAAAGTGCCTCCATCTCCATAGGTGCTATGTCTCCGATGAAGGATTTGCGGCGGTGATTAAGATGTTACCTCTACTTGAGGAGCTCGAGATTTCGAAATGTCCGCAAATATATAGTAGGGAGGTATATGAACTTGTCGCTACAGCATGCCCACTGCTAAAGCACTTCAGACATGTCTCGGGAAAGAACTGCCATGCTGGTTATGCGATAACATTTGCGGCTCCAAGGATGCGCAAACTACGTTCCTTGGATGTTGTCGGTTGCACCTTCGGTAGGGAAGTTCTGCTATCTATCCTAGACAATTGCCATGACCTAGAGTACCTTAACATGTCAGTGTGCGACCCTATTGCCATTGATAACCCACCAGAAAATCTTGCCTGGATGAGCATGGATGACCTTTATTGGTACTGGAGCAACTATTACGATGACTATACTGGTTGTAACTGCTGCCATCCCTACAAGCCCAGATGTAACTACTGTCGTACCTGGTCATATCCGCATTACCAAGACGATCCCTATTATGATTACTGCTACTACCTTGGTGACGGTGATGATGTTAATGATGCCAATCTCGAAGAATATGAGAATATCCTTGACATCAAGAGCATGCGTAGGTACTTAAGCTAATGTAAGGGTGTATATATGTGAATAATGTTTCAATGCCCTCTCTCAAAGGCGTGCAAACTCGCTCAATAATATACTCCTGATTTTTTTTCTACATCTTTTGTTTCATTTCGCTCAAAACAAGTTTAAGTGCTTGTGAGGTGAATGTGCCAAATTGTGTTCTTTATTTTTTAATTCCTTTACCTTCTGACTGAGACATTTGTCATCTTCTCCCGGTGCAAAACCTTCCTACCCCTAGCACAAGCAGATTGTTAACTCAGCTTTACATCAAATTCTGAAATCACACACAACAAAGAGAGGCTCGTTTGGCTTGCTTAATTAACCAACATTTGGTAATGCTAAAACTGATGCACCACAAAATTCTCCATAGACCCGTTCAGTTTGCTGCCAATGACCCGTAAATGGCGCCACGTAGAAGTACAAAATGCCAATTCTCAACTTGTTACTTTTTAGGGCAAAACCAAACAGGTCAGAAAAAACTTACCCATGCCTGCCTATGTAGAGCTTGGCCAATGCCTTACCGTGGACAGCTGCCTTGGAATCTCTATAGCCCGTTAGAGCATGGTTAATAGTATAGCCAATTGATGGCTATATATGATGTTTCCATGTCATATATAGGCCCATTTTTGTACTTGCTCTTATAGCGCAATAGATAGCTCAACATTTTAGACGGGCCATGATCAGGCCAGCAAATCGACCTACAAACTGCCAGCTTGCCACGTCGTTCACATCGCAACCGAAATGCCGACATCATCACTGCTGGGAGGGTGGCGGCACCACGAAGCCGTCAATCCAAGAAAAAAACACGGACGTTCCACGTGTCGGTGTTCAAGTTCATGCCCGTGTCATTGCCGGAAAGGGAATGGGAGGAGTTGCACCCGGACCTGATGTCCCGTGTCCTCCACAGGCTGGACCAGGCCGAGCTCCTACTCAGCGGCGCGGCCGGCGTGTGCCGCTCCTGGCAATGGGCCGCCCAGGAGGAGCCGGAGCCGTGGCGCCACATCAATCTGCACGGGCGTCTGTGGCTCGTCCCGCCGTTTCACCCCAAGTTGACCCTCGATGCCATGGTGTGGGCTGCCATGTAGCTCAGCATGGGCCAGTGCGAGACCTTCCTGTCTGACCTCACCAACGATGATATCTTCCTCGTGGTTCCCAAGCAGTGGTGGAGCCAGGAATTTGCTACTAGGTATTCTTGTAAAAAAATTGCCAAAGCAATATAATAGAACAATAAATGTACAGTAAGATGGAAACATCAATGACTCAATGACTATACAGCGATAATAGTAGAAAAATATCATTGTGGTAAGAAAGATTACAAATGACAAAGGAAATTGCAATGTAACTTTACGATCCCCTTTTTGGAAGAGATTGATGACATCCTCATCTTTCACTTGCTTGAAGAATTCTCTCTCAACGAATGTAACCAAGCAATTGTTCCAATATTCATCACCCATTTTGTTTCTTAGCGTATTATTCACGTATTTCATTGAGGAAAATACCCTCTCAATGCTAGCAGTGGCTACCGGAAGAATGAGCACCAACTTAAGAAGTTTGTAAACAGTATAATATTGTTCACTTTTTTCTTGTCTCAACCATCAAAACTGAAAGCTCACATAGATTCTTCAAATTGCTAAACCTTTTATCCATATGCACACGAGAAATTTGCATGCTTAATTGCCATGGAAGTCTTGACAATTCATCATTTGTGAAATCCTTAGCATAAAACTTTCTAGCAAACCTAACCAACTTCTCTTTATCATAAGCAACAAATGAATCACGTGGACTGAATGCTTAATGCAAGTAAACAATTCAGTGTTTACCTCATCAAATCTTGCATCCACTCTTGAAGTTTCGTATCAATGACACCCGCAAACATTTCAACCTTGAAGCGATGATAATTCTTTGTGCCATTAAAGAACCCTCTTTTTGGTCTCCCGGCAGGATAATAAGGCATGTCAACAACTTTGATCTTGTGCTTTACACAAAAAGAAGTGACATTATGAAGAAAATCATTCCACCCTTCATCTTCTCACAAGCATTGCAAGTGTAGCTTTGTGAGATCAACAATCTTCCTAGTATTAACAATATCTTCTTTCTTTTGCAAAGCTCTACTCAAGTCATCGGTGTATTCAAATATTTCTTGCGTCAAGTGTGACATGAAAATAAATTCAATTGTCCGAAATGATGTCAACATAGTCATTGCTGCTACAGCCTCCGTGTCGTTATACTCTTTTGTAATATTGATGAGAACACACCTTATCGCGGGATGCATAGAGATAACATGGTTGATAGTCTTGTAATGAGAGCCCCAAAGAGTATCATATGGCCTTCCAATACCCATTACTTGATTCAAACCTGTCCCGGTTTCTACTTCTTCCAACTCTAATGCAGCAATAAGTTCCTCAGCTTGAGCTATTCAAAGCATTCTCATCTTTTACAAGAATAACCTAGAACATTTAGCAAACATGCTAGCTGTTGAAAGAACCAATAAGAATCGCCACTCTTATTTGCAACGGCAACAAGAGTTAATTGTAGTTGATGGGCAAAACAATGGACATAATAGGCATAAGGAGACTCATCCATGATTAGTTTCTTCAGGCCATTAGCATTACCTTTCATGTTACTAGCCCCGTCATATCCTTGTCCACGGACCATTGCAAAGCTCAGATTGTATGTCATAAGCATGTCCTCAATTGTAGCTTTAAGTGTGAAAGAGGAAGTGTCTTCAACATGGCAAGACCAAGAACTCTCACAACTGTCCTTCCTTTCATATCCACATAATACAAGCAAACAACTTGCTGTTCATTCTGGTACACATCACTAGACTCGTCCGCAAGTACTGCAAAATGTTCACCATCAAGATCTTCAATGACTAGTTTAGTAGTCAGCTGGGCACAACTTTTGATCAACTCTTGTTGTATATCATGGCAAGTCATCTTACAGTTTTGCGGAGCATTCTTTAGAACCACCCCATCAACCTCTTCAAAGTTTCGTGCAAGCCAATTTAAAAGAAGTACGATCTCATTCCTTCTTCTCTTTTCCCTAATAATTAACTATTATCCTCAAACCCTCTATGTGTATTATTGAATTGCGGGAGAATACATGCAGTTTTATTTGAAGGGTAACGTCTCCTAACTAATTGCAGATTTTTTCTTTGGTACATCCATAGATAAGTTCACAAATTTGATGCAAATTAACGATGAGGATTCTTTTCTCGCAAATACGCAAAACTTGCGTATCATTTCATTGATAGAAGGAGAAGAATGAGAACAGTGGAGTACACATGACACGAACGCAGGCAGGCATGAACATGGTGCTCGGAGCAAAGAGACAAGGGATGCTCGGCCCGAACAGAGGATACATCACAGTTAACCTACCAAACCCGAGCTAAGAGTGGTGATGCCAAACTAACAAGAATTTAAACAACGTTGAGCCAAAATCAGGGACACCGCGAGCAAGCAATAGTGCCTTCAAGAAGGAAGACGACACCGTGATGCTGTCACTATCTGGTACGGGGACCCGGACGTAGGGTTCCCCCTGACCCCAAAGAGGGGCGCAGCTAAAGGCCTTGGTAGCGCCTCCAAGATTAGAATTGCCCTTTCAATCAAAAATATAGATTGTTCCGATCTATTGGTAGATGCATTGGAAGAATAGGGATTAGACTTAGCTGATCATGAATGTATGAGAATGCCCTTTTAAGTAACTTTAAATTCATGTAAATTTTTAAGTGGGTGTACGAAGCAAAGCTCCTAATTGCGTACCTAATTATTAGTCAAAGCATTATCTTATTTCATGCTACCTTTCAGGGCACCTTCTCTTAAAAATCTCCATCTTCGCGGTGGCAACCCCCTGCCCAAGGATGTGTGAAGCTGAACGTCGACGGATCTTTCTGTGAGGAATTGGGTGAGGCGGGCGCTGACAAGGTCCTGAGAGACACCAACGATGCCATCATCTTGTCAGTGTGTAGGAGTGTGCACAACTGCGCCGGACCTCTACAAGCGGAGCTTTTGGCTCGTTTGGAGGTCTGAATTTTGCTATGCAATGGTCACAGCTCCTGGTTGATGTGGTGATGGACTGCCTTGATGCGGTACAATCAATCTGGGCACGGACTGAGCACTGGTCACAGAACGCGATGATGATTAGCGAAGTCAAGGTAATTTTAGGTGAAAGGCGTAGCTCTATTGCTCGTATTAGCAGGCACCAAAATATTGCCAGTCATAGATTGGCTTCCTTTGGTCGTGTAGAAGCTAGGACATCAGTTGGCTTCGGTCTGGCTCTGTTAATGTACCACAAACCAAAACCATGGTTTTCAATTCCCAGTTTCAGAAAAATTTCAGCACCAACCGAAATCACCGAAATTCAGTGAATTTTAGTGATTTCATTTTGCATTTCAGCCAAATGAATGAAATATTTAGTTGAACTCCATTAAAGTTTTGACATTTTTTTAAAACTATATTTATTTATTTTTGAATTCTTCTGCAGTACTGAAATTGCTGAAATATTTTGGCCGAAACGTAATTATTTAAGTGTAAATTCAGTGAATTTCATCAAAACCTCACTGAAAGTGAAAACCATGGCAACAACTATGTTCAGAGGATCTCCATCCAGCTTAATAAATGAAATCGCTTTTAACCACGCAAAAAAAGAAAAGAAGAAGAGTGCACCCCCGCGTGGTTCTGACTGTGTGAAACACAGCAAGCAGAGACACCTATTCCAGTTTTGTCAACAAGGACAAATTTTGCTCTACACGCAGGAGGTCTTTGACGGAATTCAAATCCAAGCACCTATTCAACTCGCGGCCGGGCTTGACCACAAAAGCATCAATATGCACCAAATCAATGATCGCCCTGATTGCATGGCAAATATGGCTGGAACGAAATGCATGCACATTCAAAGGAAAATTGCCAGTGTGAGCCACACCACCGAGGCCTGCCGCTGCGACATGGAACAAAGGAGGATTGCAGGGGCAAAATGTATAGAGCACCCTTTTGGGAACATGCCGT